ACATACACACACACACAGACACACACACACACACACACACACACACACACACACACACACACGCACATGCACACTCACATACACACACACACAGACACACACACACACACACACACACACAGACACACACACACACACAGACACACACACACGCCTTTCACCATCTCCTAAATGGGTCTTGAACCTGACTCCTTGCTTCTACTCTCTCTCATCTCCTGCCTGTTTGGCTCCATTATAGGTCATCCAGACATGGTCATCAGAGCACAAAGCCTTGGAAGGTGCCAAGACAGTCCTTAGAGGTTCCTGGAAGAAAACATTAGCACTTCTAGGTTTATTTTTTATCTAAAACATAAGAAATTGAAGCTGATTAGTAATAAAAGCTGATGGTGTTTATCTACCTATACATGTTATTCGAGACAGGGTTTCTCTGTGTAACAACTCTAGTTGTCCTGAAACTAACTCTCTAGACCTGGCTGGCCTTGAACTCACAGAGATCTGCCTGCCTCTGGTGCTTTCAGTCCTTTTTATTTACTCATTTAAAGGTGTGTGTGTGTGTGTGTGTGTGTGTGTGTGTGTGTGTGTGTGTGTGAATGTATGCTATCTGGGGGTTACCAAGGAAGCCAGAAGAGGGCATTGGATGCCCTAGAGCTGCAGTTACAAATACGCAATATGCATGGTGGGAACAACTTGGGTCCTTTGGCTTTTAACCACTCCGTCACCTCTCCAGCCCTATTTTTTTTTTTAATTTTTAAAATTTCTTTTTTATTACAAAACTTCTAAGGATTACGTCTGTTATTTATTTACTTGGGACATATAGCAGTTAGAGGTCAGTTTGCAGGCATCAGTTTGCCTGAGTGGCTCCCATACCTACTAATTAGGGGACAAGGGCCATGCAATTAGAACCAGTCAACATGTCTGACTGTCAGTCTGATGTACCAATGCCTGCTAGGCACCCCTGGCCCAATGATCGTGAGAAATGGAAGACATAGCAGCCTGCCTCAATGGGTTGCTGTGGGGGCCAATGAGAAGCTGTATGAAAAATGCCTGGTATACAGTAAGTGCTCAGTGAAAACCAGCTGCATGCTCCATGTGTCCAGACCCCATGCTGGATGCAAATGTGACTTAGTGGAGAAACAAGAATGAACAGGGTTAAAACAAACACTGAGATGGATTTGTTTTTGTCTGAGACAGGGTTTCTCTGTGTAGCCCTGGCTGTCCTGGCACTCGCTCTGTAGACCAGGCTGGCTTGGACTCACAGACATCCACCTGCCTCCGCCTCCTGCTGGGATTAAAAGCGTGTGCCAGCACCACCTGGCTAACACTGGGTTGGACTTAAAAGAGACGAATGAGAAGGAATTAGAACTGTACCAGGAGGAGCCTTTGCAAGCATGCTCTGCTTCACATCACGGAAGCCCAAGGTCCCACTCTGCAAGGCTTGGGCTACTGCTCTGTCTCTGGGGCACCCTTTGAGAGGCGCATCTGTTTACCATGAGCAGCCGGGGAGAAGCTTCAGACCAGCAGGGATGTTTTGTACAGAAGCAAACACAGACCACTGTGAACAAGCCATTTGTTTGTGGTTGCTCTCATCACAGGACACATCAAATAACCATCCTCCTCCTCCAGCCATTCTTTCTGGCTCTGGATTCCCACCCCAAGCAGGCTTTCCCACCCTGGAGAGGAGGCAGGGAAGAGGGAAAATGGAGAGGTGGGTCCAGGGCTCTTTCCTATAGAGGATCAGTGTTTCCAACACCCCTTATTGGGGGCTCACAACTGTTGTAACTCCAGTTCCCAAGGGATTCAGTGCCTCTGGCCCCATGAGCATCTACGTACATATCCACACACAGACACACACCCCTAACTAAACATAATACACATACGTTTTTAAAAGAGATGAGTAAGGGAGACACCCCCACCCCATAACACAACACATCCAGACAGTCATTGCTACCAAAAGAGAGAAGGGGAACAGGAAAAGTGGAATACTGTAAAGACTATTTGCATAGGAAATTCAGGACAACAGACAAGTCCCCTGCTCTGAGCCCCAGGTGAGGCTCATGGAAGAAGGGACAAAGCCTGGGCCACTCCTAAAGCCCAGACCATACTGTCAGCTGGCCTCAGTGCAATCAATGTAAGGGCTGGAACCCCTTTTTGGGAATGCTGTAAAAAGAAACACCTGTGCCCTTGGTGAGCCACAGACCTCCCCTACCCCTGGCCTCTCACCTTGATAAGTCACCGTGAACTTCTGTTGCATTTGGGGAGTGTCATAGGAGATGAAAAACCAGAAGAGAAGGATGAAAGCCACCTGTAGTACGAAGGCACACAGGGGCAGGCAGCATCGGAGGGACCGTGGGTACTTAGAGGCCATCTTGTTCCTGTTGCTGTTCCCAGGTTCTGCCAGCACCAGGCCTCACTGGAGTCCCCCACACCCACTTGAAGGAGTGATAGGAGAGACATCCGCCAAAGGCCCTACTTATCTCAGGATGCAAACAAAGCTGGCTGGGCTGGCCTAGAGAACAGAGGGACTTCATGGGAGGAAGAGGCAACACATTTACTCAACGTGGTCGTTCATTCAGACAGTCCTGGCTGGATTCCTCTTGGGAGCTCCTACTGTGCTCAGTTTTTTTGTTTTTTGTTTATCTATTTATTTTAATGACCTCTTTATTTTCATTTTGTGTGCACTGGTGTTTTGCTTGCATGTATGTCTGTGTGAAGGTGCTGGGGCCTCTGCAACTGGAGCTGTGAGCTGCATGTGGGTGCTGAGAATTGAACCTGGGTTTAATTGAACCTCTTGAGGAGGCTGTACTCTGAGATGAGCTCTAAGAGAAGAGAATTGGACCTCTGGAAGAGCAGCCACTGCTCTTAACCGCTGAGCCATCTCTCCAGCCCCTGATTTTATATATTTGGTCTTTTCTGATACAGGGTATATCTCTGGAGCCCTGCCTTGGAAATCGCTGTGTAGACTAGACTGGTCTTGGATTTGTAGGAGTCCTCCTACTTCTGCTTCCTGAGAACTAGGATTACAGACAAGCACCATCACCATGGCTTCGTGTGTAGTCTGAAGGAGAGCATTCTATTCCATTGCCATCCATCCATTCTTTTTTTTTTTTAAGATTTTATTAATTTATTATGTATACAACATTCTGCTTCCATGTATATCTGCACACCAGAAGAGGGCACCGGATCTCATAATGGATGGTTGTGAGCCACCATGTGGTTGCTGGGAATTGAACTCAGGACCTCTGGAAGAGCAGTCAGTGCTCTTAACCTCTGAGCCATCTCTCCAGGCCCCATCCACCCATTCTTTATATTTGTTTCTTTGGTCTACCCTGTAAGAGAGGCAGGGCCTGCCTGGGGCTAGAGCTGATACTGGGGTTCTATGGCAGAACATGAAGCAGGCCCAGAGTTCAGGTCCCAGCAACTGTTTTTTTTTTTTTTTTTTTTTTTTTTTTTGGTTTTTCGAGACAGGGTTTCTCTGTGTAGCTTTGGAGGCTGTTCTGGCACTTGCTCTGGAGACCAGGCTGACAGAGATCTACCTGCCTCTGCCTCCCGAGTGCTGGGATTAAAGGCGTGCCCCAGGCTGACAGAGATCTCCCTGCCTCTGCCTCCCGAGTGCTGGGATTAAAGGCGTGCGCCACCAACGTGCGGCCCCAGCAACTGTTTTGACAAAAGGGAAAGGAAGGCGTCTTAGTTTCTTTTACCATTGCTGTAGTAAAGTCCTCTGCTAAAAGCAAGTTAGAGGAGAGAGGGACTTTGACTGTGGCATCCTGTTCTAGGGGCCAGACATTTCCTAGGAATGTGGAAACAAGCAGGAGCCCCAAGTCTTCACATGCAGTCCTGTACCTTTTGTAAAATCGAGGTTCTGTGAGAACATGTGACACTTTTCCCAGACCACAGCATGGCTGGTGTTCTTGCTTGAATGAGAAATGTCCTCAAAAGACTCATGACTTAGCTGTTTGCTGATGGGCCTTTTGGGAAATGACTGAATCATGGGGGCTGGGACTTCGTGATGGTCACTCTTGGTTGTCAACTGGATGGGATTTAGAATCACTATGGAAACAAGCCTCTGGTGTGTCTGAGGGAGCTTGCAGACTAGGCTAATAGAGCAATGATAAATGTGTACCTCACCATTCTATGGGCTGGGATCCTGGACAAAATGCAAACTGAGATGAACATGGGCATTTTATATTCCTCTTCAGGGTTTATTTCTCTTATGTGTATGAGTGTTTTGCCTACATGTATGTTTATGTACCTGATGCCCAAAAAGGTCAGAAGAGGGCACTGGATCCCCTGGAACTGGAACTGGATGGTTGTAACCCACTATGTAAGTGCTGGTAACTGAGCCCTAAGTCAGGAAGAGCATAGAGCCCAGCCCCTCCGTTTCTTTCTTTCTTTCTTTCTTTCTTTCTTTCTTTCTTTCTTTCTTTTTTTAAGATTTATTTACTTATTATGTGTACAGTGTTCTGCCTGCATGTCAGAAGAGGGCACCACATCTCATTATGTATGGTTGTGAGCCACCACGTGGTTGCTGGGAATTGAACTCAGGACCTCTGGAAGAGCAGTCAGTGCTCTTAACCTCTGAGCCATCTCTCCCCAGTTCCCTTCCTTTGTTTCTTGACTGTGAATGTGAGCAGCAGCTTGCCTTCCTGCTGCCACGGCTTCCTTACCTTGTTGGGCCCCAAACTGAAAGGCAAAATTAACCTGTCTTTCCAGGAGTTGCTTTGCTGGCTGTTTTGCCCCAGCAACAGGAATGGAACTGATGCAGACCCAGCCAGTGTTGCCTCCTGTGACAGATCTGTTCTAGAATGGCATGTAGGGACAAGAATGACTTGTAGGGACAAGTCGAGAGGTAGTGAAGGGACCAGCTCCCCATTTTGGCAGCCATAACAGCCGAACACGTATTTGTCTGACCTTGTCTTAGTCACTAAGGTCAGATCCTGCCCCTTTTGGCAGCCATGACAGTAACAAGTGCTTTTCTGACCTTGCCTTGGTCACTAGAGGTTAGGTGCCTGCCTCGGCAAGGAACCAATCAGAAGTTAGCTGGTGGCGCTATGCTTTACGGCTCTGGGTGTGCTTTACGGACAAGCGCACAGCAATGATGCACAGAGCATAGCAACCACCCTGGGAGCCTGGAGGCACACCAATCCTAAGCCTGTGCATACCCCTAGATATTCCCCTTACACTGCCCTACAAGATCTCTCTGCAGCCGGTTCGAGCTGTCTTTGCTAGCCATCCGCCATGGCGGGTGGGGGAAAGACCCGAGCTAACATAGGTTAGCTCGTTAAACAACAATAAAGCCTCATGCAATTTACAGCTATCAATCTGCCTGGTGATTGGGGTGACCTCGGTCCTGGGCTGAAACCCAGGAGGCCTGAGTTTTCCGGGGGTCTAACAGTAGGAGGAGGCAGGAGGTGGGGGCTCTTGGAGAAATCAGGCTGGTGGGGTGTGTCCTTGGGGGCTGTTTCTTGCAATAGCCCTTTCCTGTGTTTTTGTTGTTGTTGCTTTTGGTTTTCGAGACAGGGTTTCTCTGTGTAGCTCTCTCTAGCTGCCCTGGAATTTGCTCTGTAGATTGGGCTGGCCTTGAACTCAGGGAGATCTGCCTGTCTCTTGACTCCCGAGTGCTGGGATTAAAGGCATATACCACCACTGCCTAGCCTATTTCTCTCTGCTTCCTGCCTACCACAAGGTGAGCAGCCCTGTCTCATGCTCCCAGTGTGGTGAAGCTCACCTTCACCACAGACCCAGAATCAGCAATTAACAACTATGGCATAAACACCTACAAACCCACAAGCCTAAATAATAATTGTTTCCTTCAAATTGTTCCCTTGAGTGGTGATGGTTGAGGTCACTAACACAAGTAGTGACCATGAGGTAGGTTAGGGCTCCATTCTTTCTATGGAAGATTTTCCACACCACAGGTGTGAGCTTGCTCTAGGCATTAGGTGGTCATTCATTCAATACCTAATGAGCTTTGTAGCTCATTAATAGTTGTGTGACCTTGGGCAAGACAATAAGTCTCTCTGTTTTCCTCTTTTTGCATTAAGTTGGTGTGAAGGGCCGGGCGTTGGTGGTTCACGCCTTTAATCCCAGCACTCGGGAGGCAGAGACAGGTTGATCTCTGTGAGTTCGAGACCAGCCTGGTCTACAAGAGCTAGTTCCAGGACAGCCTCCAAAGCCACAGAGAAACCCTGTCTCAGAACAGTTCAAGTTCATCCTTGAGGACAGAGAATGAGATTAGTCTGCATTAGATGAGATCCTGTCTGGTGGGAAGTGGGAAACAGCCCAGATGTCCCACAGAGCCTGTTGGTTGAATGGACTGCCATACATTCCTACCAGGAACTCTGTGCTGCATTGGGTGTGGTGACACACAGTACTTAGGTGTTTTGTTTTGTTTTTTCAATTTTTAAAATTACATTTATTTATTTAGCATTGGGTATGTGTGAAGGTCAGAGGACAAGTTGAAGGAATTGGTTCTCTCCTTCTACCATGTGGATCCTGAAGCATGTCATTGGCCTCAGTGGCAGACAGCTTAACGTGCTGAGCCATCTTGCAGGCCCAGGCACTTCCCATTGAAGCTCTGTTTACATTCTCACCACAACATTGTGAAGGGGAAGTTATTGCTGACAGTGAATGTAGATTAGAAGACTGCAGCACAGAGAAGGGAAGTCACTTAGCTAAGGTCACACAGCATGTGAAAGAATTGGGATTCATTCACCATGCCAAAATGGTCGAGAAAGACCTTTCCATTTGGAAACTGCTTTGACAAACTGAAAAAAGCAAGGCCCCCAATTGTGTGCGCATGGTTTTGTTTTTAGGGGGGAAGGGTGTGAGTAGGAAGTTGTCTAAAAGGGCACACGCACAAAACACCTCTGTTTCAAATTTTTGTGGCATTGAGGGTCAAACCTAGAGCCTTACACATGCTAGGCGAACATGAGACACACACACCCGCCCTCACCTCATCTGATCTTCACACCAACAGATTCTAGGCTTGAGCCACCATCTTTGCCACACTGTTCAGGTCTGAACACTTCGGAGTTTCCTTCCTTCATAGGTTCTCTGGGAATAAAAGTAGGCATGTAAGTCAGCCATCCCAGTCTCTGGGCTTCACTGGGACTCTGCAGGCACAAGGCTCAAGGCAGCTGGACCATTGCTACCAGAGAGGTTGACAGAATGGAAGCTGCAGGGGGAGACAGGGGTGGCAGTGCAGGGGTGGCAAGGCCTCTTCCTTATTTGTGAAATGGGATCACCCCAGCTCTGTTCTGAGCTCAGCTGACACCAAATGCAAATCCCAGCATTTTGTCATCCTGAGCCAGGAAGGACGGGACAGGCCTAACCTCCCACCTGGCCTTGCACCTCTGTCTCCCCACT